AACCCCCCCCCCCAATCGGCGGGCCTGAATATACGGCACGCTCGCTTGCCGTGGACCGGGTGCAAATTTGTTTTTGTAAGTGTTAGATTTCTGTGAATTATTGTCACATATAAAGACAGGTTTACCCCAAGCGAGTTAGGTTTTTCAGCTATTTCGTGATTGGAATATTTAGCAAGGCCTCAGTTAAGGTTTCTGCATATTTTATTTATTTAAGGCTACTTGAGCTTTTAGAGCTCACGTGGAATTAGTTTGATGTAGACTGTTGTCTTAAGTGAATATATTATTTACTTATTTCTGTTTAGTTTGGATTCTCACAGATTCTGGTATCTGATAGAGTTGGAGTTCAGCACTTTAAATCTGAATTTTACTTAATTTTCTTCACTAGTGATTTTCTTTATGATACTTTGGAGTTATTTTAGATTACTGTTTGTTGCTTAACTTACAGAGTGTTACATTTGAACTGATGAGAGCTTTCAATTAAAGCTTTCTTCTCTGCTCTCATTAGTTCTACTCAATCACAAGATGCCTGCCCTGATATCTTGTATTACATGTATCTTGTATTGTAGAATATTATTTTGTGTTTTTTGTTTGTCTTAATAAACGTTCTTTTTCAACCGAATATTTGTGTCTTGTCGCATTCCTTGTGTGATGAACCTGGTAATAGGATAGAGAGAAACAACCTCTAATACCCTATAACCTAGAGCCTCCAGTTAGAAGACCTATCTTCTACTCTGGGGCACATCTGCGAGCCAGAAGATACTACATTACTAGCATGTACCACCATGTTCTAAATTTAAAAAAAAAACTTAAACTGGTTTACAGAAATTTCATGTCTCAGAAACAGAACCAAGCAAGTACAAAGGGTTGAGTATGTTATATTAAAATGATTTTGAATCTGAAAATCAGCAAGATACTTGATAATCACAACCAATATAAAGTCGTGGTGGAAAGAGCATATCAGAACTATATTTGACATTTTTGATAACTAGATTCTCTTACAACTTTCAGCGTCTATCATTAGTGTAAATCCCCGTTGTCTGATAAATAGATGGCTTTTGTCTTTAATTAAAGACTTCTAGCTTTCTTAGGTATAACATAAATACAACGCAAAAAAGGGTAAAACCATTAGATATAATAAAATATTAAACAACACACACTTCTGCCTAAGTGTAATCTAAAGTTAGTCTCGATATTTAATTTTGTAAAATATTATTGCATCATCAGTCCCTGGTGATGACGTGATGCTTGGTTTACCATGAATACCATTCTCCCAGAATAAAATTCTCTGTAAGATCTATTAAAGGACCAATGTTATCCTTGACTCTTTTATTTTCGCGGTTATGTAGCGTAAAAAGAAAACCGTCAATTCAGACTTGATCTTGTGAGCAAATAAACGTTCTTAACCCTATTTTTCCATGGTTGTTGCTTTCTTGACTTTTTTTTTTCTCAGTGAACTTCGGTATCCTTCGTTTTAGAAAGAAATTTCGTGTTTTTGTAGATTAGTTATTTGCACCTAGTGGAAGTTTAATTGCGCTATTCATTCAATTAGGAAAATAAATTTTTGTTAATATGCGAAAAAAGGTAAAAATACAACTATTTTCAGGTAGTTTAGTTGAAAACCAGCTTCTCAAACTTTATTAACATTTTTTCTTATTCAGATTACCCACCCAATCTTTCCTCTTTATCGATATTTTGAAATTTCTGGAAAGCATTTTAAGTTGTTTTTTTTTTTTTTTTGTTGGCGTTTTTTTTTTTTTT